AGCCGAACGCCGAGAAGAAGAACGAGAAGCTGTGGCGGCGAGGAAGGCAATGGGGCATGGAGCTACAAAGGCGCTGGTGCCCGCCCAACAGGTCATACAGCTCAAGCTGGCCGACTACATAGAGCAGCACCAGCTCCAACTCTCGCCGGCCCCGCCTGCAGCAGCGGACGTCCAAACAGCGACACCACCTGCAATCGTATTCTCACCGTGCAGGCCCATGGTTACCACGGCTATGTTCTTGCTGCACCTTTTCTCGGGCAGACGTCGAATCGAGGATTTCCAGTACCACTTCGAGATGAACATACGGGAATGCAACTTGGTAGCACTATCGATCGACGTGCAGATAGACCCCGTCAAAGGAGACCTGACGAAGCCAGACGTCGTCGACTTTTGGTGCGCAGCGATACGACAGGGCAAAATATTTGGTATTGTGGCGGGCCCGCCCTGCGAGACGTGGTGCTCATCGCGCTGGCATGCCGCCGAGGGGAAGGCACCTCGACCACTACGTACACATGAAGCCCCCTGGGGCATACAAGCAGCTAGCCAAGCGGAGCATCAACAGATCGCATTAGCCAACGAGCTATACAGGACAGCTTTACTACTCATCACCACGGGCCTGCAGTACAACGTCTCAGCCGTACTCGAGCATCCCGCCCCAGCCACATGGTGCCCTCAAGCGCCTAGCAGCTGGCAGCGAGCAGAGACGCTCTGGCTCCTGGAGCAGACGGGCGTCGAACTTCACTACATAGACCAGTGCCAGTTCGGGCAGGACGCGAGAAAACCAACATGTCTGATGGCGGCACACCTCGGTGAACTCGCACAGGAGCTAAGGGCGGTACCTGGGGGACAGCTATGCCGACATGCGGGACATGCCGGAGTTTACGGACGAGACGGCCAAGGCGGCTGGAGGACCGCCCCCCTCAAAGAGTATCCATCAAGGCTGTGCAAGGCAATGGCTACCGCCTTCGCAGCCCACTGGGGGCAGCTTGCTGACGCAGAGGCAATGTGGGCCGAAACGGACGACTGCTACCACAGGTTCTACGCCCCCTTGGATTACTACATGGAGACAGACCAGATCGGCCATGATTGTCACAGGGTATGGGGCAACCATCGGCGCTAGCAATTGGCACCGAGGCGGCCTATTTGGTGCAGTTAGTCGAAGCAAGCGTCCAGCATTATATACTTTTGCCCCGTAAGAGAACACTGGTCTGCAATTTGGCGCAGACCACCGGCTTGCTACAGATTTGATGGCAGCTGGCATTACAATATTTTATACAGAGTATTTCAGATTGGCAGCAGAAGTGTCAACATCAGCGCACCTACGGCATGGCCCAATACCCTGGTGCTAACGGGCTACAGGTACGGATGCGACCTGGACAACGATTGCGTGCCATCTCGAGGGGGGGGGACCCGTAGCGCCCATACGGGTGGGCACGATCCCTCAATGGCGACGGAGCGTGCCCCCCCCTCGAGCACTTGCTGGATTTATCGACTTTCCTAACATTGGCATTGTTTACTATGATTATTTGGCCCTGGGCAGGCATTACGGTGTGCTGCTTAAGTCCTGAGGAAGCCCCGAATGCGTGGGAAGACCTCAGGCAGCGTCGCCAACCTTGGCTATCGTTAGAACGCAAGACCTGGGGAAGCCCCGAATGCGAGGGAACACCCCAGGCACAAGTCGCCACGTTTTGATGTGTACCGCGGCGGCTCCTGGAGATCTACAGTATGGATGGCGCCAGCTGGCTGGCAGCGGGCGGCCCATCGGCCGTCAGCGTATCACCGACCGACATCGACAGCATACCCAACACGACCCCCTACAACTCCTTCCAAGTCAACGCTGTCCTGGTGAGGATCAAACTTCGAGACGGGCTCGAAGGGCTGGGGGGGAAGGACGAGTACTTCCCGCGCCCGCCAGCGGGGATGGCGAGGGGCAGGGGGGGGGGGTAGGACGGCCACTACCCGCGCCCCCGCGGTCCGCCCTAGCTCGCCACCCCCACCATTCCCATGGAGAAGGAGGAGCTACCCGATCGCCCGAAGGCGAAGCTGGACAGCCGAGACACACCACTCCGACGACAAGTACCAGGCCTGGGGTTCGCCCCCACCGAGGGCACCGTGACCCCTAGCCATAGCGGGACGAGGTGGGACAGTAACGACCCCCACTTGAAGTCGGTGCATGGAGGCCTTGGGAGCCCACCACCAACACAACACCAGCAACAGCCCGACCCCCAACGACCTCGCCAACTCGCTCCACATCTGCACGCAGCCCCATACAACGACATCTACAACATCCGAGATCAGTACCCTCCTGCAGCTCAAAAGCAGGGGGTCATGACCGACGGCCCTCGCGTGGCAGGCGAGGAGAGTGCTGCAGAGCCGCTGAATCCAGAGGCTCGGCGGGCCTCCACAGCGCTGAGCGCCGAAGGGTGGAGGCCGCCGCAGAGAAGGCGGCCATCCACCTGATGACCTGGCGGCTGGGCTCAGCGCGAGGCGCCGAAGGGAGCCCAGCCGCCGTACATGAGACCGACCGCTAGGCGAGGAGAGTGCTGCAGAGCCGCTGAAGTCAGAGGCTCGGCGGACTCCACAGCGCTGAGCGCCGAAGGGTGGAGGCCACCGCAGAGAAGGCAGCCATCCACCTGATGACCTGGCGGCTGGGCTCAGCGCGAGGCGCCGAAGGGAGCCCAGCCGCCGCACAAGAGGCCGACCGCCCACAAAGAGGCCGAGGCTAGGACAGCGCTGCAGAGCCGCTGAAGTCAGAGGCTCGGCGGGCCTCCACAGCGCTGAGCGCCGATGGGTGGAGGCCGCCGCAGAGAAGGCGGCCAGCCACCCGATGACCTGGCGGCTGGGCTCAGCGCGAGGCGCCGAAGGGAGCCCAGCCGCCACACAAAAGGCCGATCGCCCACAAAGAGGCCGAGGCCTGGCTGCGGGCCGAGCTGGCTGAGCTGGCACGGGCGCGCGCGGCGCCTGCCGAGGGCCCAGATGGGCCCTCATCTTTTTGTTTTACTGAAACCCGGCCCCTCTCTCCCTTCTCTATGATTTACTGGTCCCAGGCTCCCTGTTTCCCTCGGGGCCGGGTTCCCGGGGCCGCAGTCTGAGCGCCCGCACGGCCCTGGTGGGCCGCTGCAGAGCGCTCCGCGCCCGCGGGGCGCGCGACAAGACGCTGCATAGCGAGAAACGCAGAAACGCAGGGGGAGAGGGAGCGAGGACCGCGAAGCGCGAAGCGCGAAGAACTTCGCGCCCTCGTGGGAGCCCTCGGTCCTGGGCGGGGAGGGCCATCGGGCCCCTGTCGGCGATCAGTGGGCGATGGGGGTCGACGCGTCCTCCCACGAGCCTGTGCCCCCCTAGCGTTGCCCCCGAGTAACCCGTCGGTCGGAAGAAGTCTTTCTTGTTCTCCCCAGGTAGTCGGCCGGGTTACAGTCAAAAACCCTAATAAGGACGCGCGGTAAGGACGCAAGACCCTTGGAAGCCGAAGTTGGGATTTTGGGGGCGGCGGACGACGAAAACCTCAAGGACGCAAGAGCAAAGAAGAGCAAGGACGCAAGGGTATCCTGAGCAAAGTCGCGCGTCCTTATTGGGGTTTTTGACTGTAACGTCACCATACCATGTTAATATCAGGTCGGGCCTGTCCCCCTGCAGGGGAGATTTTTGACGAAAAATAAGAAATATTCAAAAAGTACTCAAAAGAGATTTTTAAAATACTCTAGAAATAGTCCCCAGACAATTTTTTTACTATTTTTGAATATTCCCCCTGTAGAGGGACAGGCCCGACTTAATGTCAATATCACGTTTATCCGCGAAAGCCGGCTCCTATCGAGACGATTTTTGCTTCACACTTGAGCGCTTGTGCGCTCAAGCGTGCGCTCAAGCGTGTGCGCCGGTCGGAAGATGTGGGTACGAACATGCAGCGGGAAGGCGGAGAAAGGAGATCGAGTTCGGGCCCTCCCAGAGGATCACAAAACGCAGCAAAAGCTTATCGATCATTGAATAGTAGGATGGCGTTTGAAGTAGATTGGGATCTGGGAGTCCAAAAACTCCCTACTTCCAGACACTGGCGTGCACCCCTGTCCTTCTGCAGAGGGACAAAAAAACAGCATTAAACATGCTATTTGTTCAAAATTCGCGCGGAAATTCTTGGATCGGCGCTGGACACCCCTCCCTGGCGCGGGGGGCGAGCCAGGGGCGGCGCCGGAGGCGCCGCTTGGGAGGCTCCAGCGCCGATCCGAGAAATCCGCGCGGACCGTCGAAAGTGGATGTTTATGCAATTGTTTTTCTGCAGAGCACTCGCGTTTTCTAGGGTGCTTTGTTTTTTGGGGTGCCTTGTTTTTATGGCCACGGGTGGCTATAAGAACGTGTGACGCTCAATATCAGCAATGTGTGGGGGGGCATGATTTGTTCCCCCCCAGCCTCTGAGCATCGAGTGATAAAGTCGAGCGTCATGTGAGAATCGATCTGAATTCCGTTTCTGGCAAGATTGTTGCGCACACAGTTTTAGCACAGGCGGGAGAGACGGGTTTGCAGCAGCAGCGCTTCCCCACCTCCGGAGCCATTTGCCTCAAAGGCCCCACAGAGGGCCGTGCTAGCAGCACGCATTGTGCACTGCACACGCGTCGAGCCTGGTATTGACTCCAAATAGATTAGACGACTCAAATCAAGGAATCACAGGAATCGAGCATGCTTGGAATCCGCAACTCAGCAAGTAAGCAAGCGTGCAAGCAAGCAAGCAAGCAAGCAAGCAAGCAAGCGTACAAGCGCGCAAACAAACAAGCAAGCAAGCGCGCAAGCAAGCAAGCAAGCATACATAAAGGGTGGTGCCATTGGAAGAAGGGGGGGGGAGGGGGGGGCCATTGGAAATAAGGGGGGGGGCCATTGGAAAAAGGGGGGAGGGGGGGGGCTAAAAACCAATAACTTATGATGAGCTGGGACTCCTATAGGGCAAGCCTATTTGGAGAATTGGGAGGGGGGGACGGGAGGACACGACGGAGCTGCCGAGAGGCCGGGCGGTCCTTGGTGGCGATGGGCCCCTGGCCGTCGATGGGCGTTCCCAGGGCGTCCACTACCCGGCCTGCGGGCTTTCTCCTGCCTTGCCCCGCCCAACCTGCCGCCGCATCATCATCATCATCATCATCATCATCATCATCATCATCATCATCATCATCATCATCATCATCATCATCATCATCATCATCATCACATCATCATCATCATCATCATCATCATCATCATCATCATCATCATCATCATCATCATCATCACATCATCATCATCATCATCATCATCATCCATCATCATCATCATCATCATCATCAGCATCAGCATCACATCATCATCATCATCATCATCATCATCATCATCATCATCATCATCATCATCACCATCACCATCACCATCACCATCACCATCATCATCATCATCATCATCATCATCATCATCATCGTCGTCGTCGACATCACCATCATAATCACATCAAGATCACCATCCGCATCATCGTCATCATCATCAACAACATCACCACATCACCAACATCATCACATCAAGATCAACATCAGCATCATCGTGATCATCATCATCAACATCAACATCAACGTCATCATCATCATCATCATCATCAGAATCATCGTCGTCGTCCGCATCGTCGTCGTCGTCGTCGTCCGCGCCGTCGTCGTCCGCGTCGTCGTCATTATCATCATCGGCATCGTCGTCATCATCACCATCATCACCATCATCACCATCGCTAGCATCCTTCTCGATTCCCTGCTCGTCGTCAGCGTCACCATCATCATCATCATCATCATCATCATCATCATCATCATCATCATCATCATCACCATCGGCATCATCATCAACATCACAAACATTACCACATCAAAATTTACATCATCATCAACATCATCATCATACTCTTGGTCCGTGTAGGGGCTCTCTTGGGCCCTCTCGGGGCCGCCTTCGAGGCCTCTTGGGCCGTCTTGGGGTCTCTTGGGGCCATGGTGGGCTGTCTTTGGCCCCTCGTGGGGTCCTCTTGGGCCGTCTTGGGCCCCTCTTGGGCCGTCCTGGGGCAGTCAGGAACCATTTTGGAGCCCTGTTAGGGACGTTTCGGGCCGTCTTGGGACGGTGTCGGAAGCCTCTGGGGCCGTCGTGGGCGCGTCAAAAACGGAAAAAGAAAATGTGCAGAAAGTAGCACTTTTACGAAGGGAATGCTACGACTTTTGTGTGATGAGGCCCAATTTGGGAGGCATCTTGGGCCGAGTGAAGGCCGTCTTGGGCAGGACTGGGACCTCGGGTGGCCGCGGGCAGGCTCGTCTGAAGTGTTCTGGGGCCGTTTGGAGGCTCTCTGGGGGCCCGGGGCCACTAAGAAGTGTTTTGGAGCCGTTTGGGGCCGTTTGGGGGCTCTTGGGGGAACCGGGGGGGCCGGGGCAACTAAGGGGTCTGTCGAATTTATTTGAATATCTATATATATATATATATATATATATGTATATGCATATATGTATGTATGTATGTATGTATGTATGTATGTATGTATGTATGTATGTATGTATGTATGTATGTATGTATGTATGTAGGTAGGTAGGTAGGTAGGTAGGTAGGTAGGTAGGTAGGTAGGTAGGTAGGTAGGTAGGTAGGTATGTACACACACATATATATATATAAACATAAATACATACATATATATATATATGTATATATATGTATACATGTTATATTACATTATATGCACACATACATGCATGCATGCATGCGTGCATGCATGCATGCATGCATACATACATACATACATACATACATACATACATACATACACATACATATATACATACATACATACGTACGTACGTACGTAGATACATACATACATACATACATACATATACATACATACATACATACATACATACATACATACATACATACATGCATGCATACATACGTACATACATACATACATACATACATGCATACATATAAACACACTAGACTGCAGAGGCGCGTCGCGCCATGCACCTTGGTCCTTAGAGTTTGGTATGCAGGCGGACTGGCAGACAGGTCAAGCCGACAATTAAGCGATAATTCCTTTTTGCCTTGTTCCGGCATCGTCGTTATACTGAGGTTTTTTCGTTATTATTCCTCCATGCTTATTTTTCCTCATTCTCGCCAGACCCTGCGCATTCTCCCCATCCTCCTCAGCTCTTTTTGCGGAGGCTCCTCCTTGGAGAGCCTGTGGGTGCCTCAGACAAGTTCTTCATGTTTTCTTAAAGCCTTCTGGAGACCTCCTGGGCGTGTTCTGTTGGCCTCTGGGGGCTTCCTCGGGCCACCCTGTCTCCAACCGCGGTCTCCCTGAACGACCTGTTTACGATTTGGAATGCTTCGGAGGGTGTCTTGGAGCCATCCTGGGCCGCCATGGGGCTCTCTTCGGGCCATCTTGGACCCCCGTTGTACCGTTTTGGGGCTCTCTTGGACTGCCTGGAAGCCCTTTCGGATGGTTGTGGGGCGATTTGGGAGCCTCTCAGGCGGCTTCGGACGCCCAGAAGACCGCCGCCTTGGAGCGTCGGGAAGCCGAAAAGAGGAGAACCCCAAAATGCACCAAAAACCAACGGAAAATCAATGATTTGCGAATCTTGTGGCTTTCTTGGGAGTACTTGTGGAGGCCTCTTGGGACGTTTTGGAGCGATCTTTGGGGGTATGATGGTTTCTTGGGGGTTGTCATAGACCGTATTGGGGCTATCTGGGGTCGTTTCGGGAGCGCGCGTCTGGAACCCGTCTGGAGCCGTCTTCGGGCTCTCGTGAGGTTCTCCCGGGTCGTATGGAGGGTTGCCCAGAGGCCCGGGGAGGGTCAAACTCGCTGGGGCAGGGGGGGGGTCCGCGTCCACAGCCCTATAAAAAAAAATGAATAATAATATATACCTACAAACATATATGTATGTATATTTCTATACATATATATATACACATATATACATTATATATATATATATATATATGATCCCGGGCTCCAGGCCCAAGGGCCCACGAGCACCACAGTACCACGCCACATACGCCACACCCACAGCACCACATCACACCCACAGGGGGGGGGGACCATCGCGCGGAAGGGGGGGGGCCGACGGCATCAGGATGAGGGGGAGATTCTCTGCACTGCCACAAACCATCGATCGGACTACCAACTTCCACGACCCAGCTGGTGACCGAGCACGAGCCGGCTGAGCCGGCACGCCTAGCACCCTCTGCAGGCACCACCACAGTGCAGTCGCTGGTTCTGCGTACCGAAGCTGGGAGGTGGAGGTGCCTTGACCAACTTGACCTGGTATACATCGTGTAGTTAACTAGGAGATCCGTCACAATATTCTTCTCGCGTCGGCGCCAAATGACTGGGTCCTCCCATGCCATCGGCAAAGTCCAGCAAGCGAACCAAGATCGGCACCAAATTCACGCAGAAGCCTTCAAAGATCGGCTGGGCGACCGCATCCCGAAGCGGGACAAACTCAACCTCATCCGTCTCCTCATCATCATCCGACTCTACTCCACCTCATCCTCCGCCTCCTCCTCCTCCTCCGCCTCCTCCCCCTCATCATCACCATCATCATCATCATCATCATCATCATCATCATCATCATCATCATCATCATCATCATCATCAGCAGCACCATCATCAGCATCATCAGCATCATCATCAGCAGCAGCATCATCAGCATCATCCCCATCATCAGCAGCATCAGCAGCATCATCAGCATCATCAGCATCATCATCAGCATCATCATCAGCAGCAGCAGTATCATCAGCATCAGCATCAGTATCAGCATCATCAGCATTTTCATCGTCATCAGCATCAGGATCAGCATAATCATCATCATCAGCAGCATCGTCGTCGACATCATCATCGTCATCGTCATCGTCGGCGTCGTCCTCATCAGCATCAGCAGCATCGTCGTCATCATCATCAGCCTCGTCATCATCATCATCATGATCGTCATCATCATCATCGTCCTCATCACAATCATCATCATCATCATCACCATATCATCGTCGTAATCATCGTCATCGTCATCATCAGCATCATCGTCGTCGTCGGCGTCGTCATCGTCATCGTCATCGTCATCGTCATCAACAGCATCATCATCATCATCAGCATCATCGTCGTCGTCGGCGCCGTCGTCGTTGTTGTCGTCCTTGTCATCGTCATCGTCATCGTCATCGTCATCGTCATCGTCATCAGCAGCATCAGCAGCATCAGCATCATCAGCAGCATCAGCATCATCAGCATCAGCAACAGAAGCATCATCAGCAGCAGCAGTCGCATAATCATGATCAGCAGCAGCATCATCAGCAGCATCATCATCGTAGTCATCCTTATATACTCCTCCTCCTCTTCCTCTTCTTCCTCCTCTTCCTCCTCTTCCTCCTCCTCCTCCCCTTCCTCTTCCTCCTCATCGCTCCTCCTGCTCCTGCCTCCTCCTCCTCCCAATCATCCTCATCATCCCCCTGCTCATCCTCCTCCTTCTCCTCATCCACCTGCTCCTCCTCCTTCTCCTCCTCCTCCTCTGAGACCACCTCCCTCATTCGACTCCCGCTGCGCTTCTTTCTCCGCCTGCTCGTCCTCCTGCTACTCACCCTTTCTCTTCGACTTCCTGATCATCCACCTCGAAGCCTCTTGGCTGAGCGAAGGGGTGGGGCACTTGGCGTCGGGGCCTGACCAACAGTACAGCTGGCTGGCAGGAGCACCAAGAGGAGACTAGAGGAGAGACTTAACACTCGAAGGAGACACGAGACGGAGAAGGAGGAGGTGAAGGAGGAGGACGACGACTTCGACGACGAGAAGGAGAAGGAGAAGGAGGAGGCGGAGGGAAATTAAAGGAAGCCCGACAAACATTAAAATGACTACTTGCGTAGAACTCGGGAACGTATATGGAGGCTGGAGTCGGTCTGTAAGGACGTGCGAAGCGTGCTGTCAGCCTACTCCTCCTCCTCCTCCTCCTGCCTCTCCTCCTCCTCGTCTTCTTCATCCTCCCTTTCATATGTCCTTGTGCTTAACAATGTTTTGTGTTACACCCTCGTGACCCTCCTGCTGGAAGTGGCCCAAAATCAGGCCGGGGCCAGACAGTCGGAGCCAGAAGCGAAGGGGAATCACCTCAAGAGCGCTAGTGTCTTGTTGCGCGTGGCTCGAGCATGCGAGTGGAAACCTCAAACACAAAGACGTGTTGCACTCAAGTTGGCTATGATGATTGAGTAGGCCCGCTACTGTGGCAACGTGTGCTGCCGCCCTCCTCTCCCCCGCAAATCATAAGTAGTGGCTCAAGAGTTGTGCAAACAGTGCAGCTGTGCATCGCAGTTTGCTTGCTTGGGCAGGCGGCTGTGAACAGAAGGGGATGGACATAAACACCGCTTTGATGACACCAGCTTGAAAGCCGAAATGGTATGGTGACGTGTCTGCAAGCACATTAAGAACCGTGAGAGACGAGCCTAGCCCACATGCCTTCGCCCCTCAACGGGATGGACATAGACACCGCTTCGATGACACCAGCTTGAAAGCCGAAATAGTATGGTAACGTGCCTACAAGCGCAGTACGAACGGTGAGAGACTAGCCCAAATGCCTACTGGGCCATCGACGCTCAGTAGGAGAGCCGTGGTAGAAATAGCAATCGTAGCAGCAGGGGTTTGGGCGGTTCCTCCCTCGGCGAGCACGACCGCACTGCCTCCAAAGATGCGGATCAGCACGCTCATACTTCAGCCGACAGTGGCGGCCGCAGGAACCGACACGTCTTGTAACGTCTTAACCATCACGACCCGCCGAGGAAGAGAAAAGCGGAGGATTCAAGATCTTGGAGGTTTTCCAGCCTCGGGAGTTGTCATCGATTCTTGGAGGCTTCCCAGCCTCGGGGTGACTTCCTGCAGCTGCGCCTCGCCGAGAGCGTTCCGCGGGTGCCAGAGTCGCCCAGGGCGGCCACCAAAGACCCGAGTTATAACCCGCGCCGGAGGAACAGAAGGACAGACGCGCAGGCGCGGCAGCCGCGGGGCGGGACCGAGAAGGGCGTCGCCGATGGGCACGTCCACGATGGTGCCGGTGCACTTGACGCTGTCGCCCTCCACGATGGCACGATCGTCGCCGAACACCACTACGC